TTGTGGATTGTGTTTTCCTGGGATATGCTTTTCATAGCATTGGTTATAGATTCTTGGTTGTAAAATCTGAGGTACCTGACATGCATGTCGGTACGATCATGGAGTCGAATGATGCGACTTTCTTTGAAGATATCTTTCCCATGAAGGATATGGCTACCTCATCTAATCAGGAGATGCCTAGTTCATCGAATCAGGAACCAGTTACAATTACTGAACCAGCCATTTCGATGCAACACTTTGAAAGTCCTGTGGAGGAGAACAATGAAGTTCCTACTAGGAGCAAGAGACAGAGGAATGCCAAGTCTTTTGGTGATGATTTTCTTGTGTATCTCATAGATGACACTCCCAGTTCTATTTCAGAGGCCTATGCATCTGAAGATGCTGACTACTGGAAGGAAGCGGTTCGTAGCGAGATGGATTCTATCTTGGCGAATGAAACCTGGGAGATAACTGATCGTCCTTATGGGTGCAAACCTATAGGATGCAAATGGGTATTCAAGAAGAAGCTTAGGCCTGATGGTACTTTGAAAAGTACAAGGCTCGGCTCGTGGCAAAGGGTTATACCCAAAAGGAAGGTGAAGACTTCTTTGATACTTACTCACCTGTGGCTCGACTGACAACTATTCGAGTTCTACTTTCACTAGCTGCCTCACACGGTCTTCTCGTTCATCAAATGGATGTTAAGACTGCTTTCCTAAATGGAGAGTTGGATGAGCAAATTTATATGGAACAACCAGATGGGTTTGTAATAGATGGTCAAGAAGGGAAAGTGTGCAAGTTGCTGAAGTCTTTGTATGGACTCAAGCAAGCACCCAAACAGTGGCATGAGAAATTCGAAAGAACTTTAACCGATGCAGGCTTTGTTGTGAACGAAGCTGACAAATGTGTGTACTATCGCCATGGTGGGGGCGAGGGAGTTATGCTTTGCTTGTATGTTGATGACATACTAATTTTCGGAACAAATATGAATGTTATTAAGAGGTCAAGGATTTCCTATCTCGCTGTTTTGAGATGAAGGATTTAGGAGTGGCTGATGTCATTCTGAACATCAAGTTGTTGAGAGATTATGATGGTGGGATTACATTGCTTCAATCTCACTATGTGGAAAAGATCTTGAGTCGCTTTGGCTATAGTGACTGCAAGCCCTCTCCTACACCATATGATGCTAGCGTGCTTCTTCGAAAGAATCAAAGAATTGCTAGAGATCAATTGAAGTATTCTCAGATTATTGGCTCGCTTATGTACTTAGCAAGTGCTACAAGACCTCACATCTCTTTTGCTGTTAGCAAACTGAGTCGGTTTGTTTCAAAACCAGGAGATGTGCATTGGAAAGCTCTAGAGAGTGTTTTGCGTTATTTGAAAGGCACTATAAATTATGGAATTCACTACACTGGGCACCCAAAGGTGTTTGAAGGGTATAGTGACTCAAACTGGATCTTAGATGCTGATGAGATAAAGGCCACGAGCGGATATGTGTTCACTCATGGAGGTGGCACTGTTTCTTGGAAGTCTTGCAAGCAGACCATCTTAACGAGGTCAACTATGGAAGCAGAACTCACAGCACTAGATACAGCTACGGTCGAAGCAGATTGGCTTCGCCGGCTCTTGAATGACTTGCCGGTTGTTGAGAAACCTGTACCGGGTATCCTTATGAACTGTGACAATCAAACTGTGATCACGAAAGTGAACAGCTCTAAGGATAACATGAAGTCATCAAGACACGTTCAGAGAAGGTTAAAGTCTGTCAGGAAAATGAGAAACTCCGGAGTTATTGCATTGGATTATATCCAAACGTCTAAAAATCAGGCAGATCCTTTTACTAAGGGTCTATCGCGTAATGTGATAGATAATGCATCAAGGGAGATGGGTATGAGACCCACAATATGAGTTGTTCACAGTGGTAACCTATTCTTTGTGATCGGAGATCCCGTGAATTAGATGTGGAAGACAAGTTGTTGGTCAACTGAGAGGAGAGTATCCCTACTATTCACAATACCACTCCATGAAGATGCAATACTCTCCTAATCTGCATGGCAGGTTGATGTATATCTTAATGTGTTCTAAGTGGCTTATTTAAGCAGAGATGTTATCCTGCAGAATATCTTTTGAAGAACACACCTATATGAGTCTGATTGTCAAACGTCGCAATCTATGAGAGTAGGGTTCTCTCTAGTAAACTCATGAAAGGTCACGGAGTATGACGCATAAGCTCCACCCGCGGGGAAGACCCACGGTAGCCACGTATCGGTCAAGGCTTTATGTGAAGCTTGATTCGCAGAAAACTTGCAGTTCAAGGCCCAGTCCACTGTTCAAGTTGCTTACTAGTGTAGCATAGAGTTCTAGGTGGAACTTCAACTAAACAGTCTCCACTGCAGTACCGGTATATAAAACAGTGTTTTGGAACCAAAGGCAAATTTTGTGTGCCTCTGGGATCTGGTGGGGGATTGCTGGAATTTTGTCTATTTTGGGCCTAGCCCAATAGCAGTTTCAGAAATTCCTATAAATCCTAGAGGCCCACGCAGCCCATTCGTGCAAGGCAAGAGGTGGAACTAAAGTTTAGTCCCACCTTGCTAGTTTAGAGGGAGTTGGACCTCTTTATAAGTGAGGCTCCTTCTCCACTTGTATGAGCATGAGAACAAGAGGGATATCCACGCCCGCTCCTCCTCCGCCGCCCGCCGCGCCGCGCCGCGCCGCGCCGCGGGTTGCGGGAATGAGCCGAGCCGATCTAAATTTTTGCCACGCACTACGGGTATACGAAAGGTCACTTGGGAGATGGAAAGTTTTTGCTGTAGTGGAGATTAAATGCGAACGCTGCACCCTTCGGCTGCTGTCTGTTCATTTCATCTCCCTCGGTCCCTTCAGCTCCCGGCGCTGCCCTCTCGCCTCCTTCTCTTGCGCCTATAAAAGGGAGGTCGCTCCTCTCAGCAAGACGCACCAGAATCTCTTCTTCCTCTCGCCACAAGTTCCTGAGCACTGCGCTGCTGCTACGTTCTTCCTCATTCCGTCTTGCGGCGTGCACCGCAGGTCGGGACAGTAGGCCTCCGAGACCGCACCTTTTTGAGTCCTGTACGGGAGAAGGGTGATAAGGTTTTTGGGAGCGCTCAGCGCGACTACTGGCTTCTTCATCACGGACGCCCCGGACTTGGACGACTACTTCCCCGACGACGACTTCTTCCCCGACGTCCACGACCTCCTCGACGACATGGCCGGCGAGAACGTCGACCCCAAGTCCAGCGCTTCTGCTGCTGCTACCCCGTACGTGTTCGTCCTCTTTCCATTAGAGGTTCTGCTACAGTTCCTTGTTCTAGTGTTTGCCCTGGATATGTTAGACTCTATTTCATATATGCAACTTTCTATTCTGTCTGCTCAAGATATGTTTAGTTACGTATCATATATCGCATGGCCTGTTTTATCACTGCTACACTACTCATACTTTATCTAGTATTTCTGTTAATAAAAACATTCGGTAAATTGCTCATATTTCCAACACTGACATGTGTCACTTTTCCGGTGGACTCAACAGCAAGATCTAAACCTAACAGTGCAGAGCAGAGGATGGTAGAAGAAACAGAGTACGTAACACATTGAATTTTCTGTTCTACCATCAATGCGTTCCAAAGTGAGCAAAAAAAGAAAAAGAAAAAGAAGGGCAGGTCTTTTTCAGTTTATGACTCTCTCTACCGAATAGAGATTAGAGAGCCTGATACACACTACATGAGCAGCTTCTCCATGACCGGAATTGCTGACCACACTCTGCTCAGGCACACCTCCAAGCACTGTTCACAGGAGAGTACACTTGCACCATGCTGCTACTCACCAGGTCAAAGGCTACACAATGCCGATGCCTTGTATACTGGAGAGTACACTACTTGGATACCGAGTTGATTACCAAGAGAAAACAGTTACAAAGTTTACTAAACACGCACGGCAAATATTAAAGAATAAGGTAACAGGCCCTGTATATCTCATCTTGTGTTTTGTCTTCGCACGTCTGCATCGTTTTTTAGTTCGTGTTGTCATGGAACATTATTATGATGTTCAAACCTGCTATGTGTGATGTCATTTTTATGATATATATGTGACAACCGTGGAATTTCTGGAGAATCTCACTGAAAATTTTAACTGATTATTATGTAATTGTTGGTATGGCTCTGACTGATTGTTGTTGTGGTTTGTAGCTTCTCGCCATCATTTTCGTTATTTGTGCTCTTGGTTAAATGGGTGAGCTTTGAACAGGAACTAAGGAGCGCAAGGAGAGAGATAGGTTCATGCCAGATTCTGACGTAGGCATTTTAGATTGTAACATTGCTGGTTTGGAATATACTTGTTTACCTTGGTATCGACTGTCTTGTCAGTAGCATCATTATGTGTCCGAGACTATATTAAGGGCCTCATGGGTCTGTTATGTTGCCCAATATGCCTCCTCTGTACTTTGCTTTCCCAGTGGCCCAGATTGTCCGCCGGACCTGTTTCCGAATCTGCTTTGAGCAAAGCCGTGTGTTACTTTGATGCTGCTTCTTTACATCACTGCATGCTCTGGCGAAAAGAAAAAGGAACCCATTCTAGTGTATGGGGATAACACGCAATGAATTGTGCCTTTTTTAGTTTAGAGAATGAAGGGCTGATTTCCATGTTTCATAGGCCAAACTGACGAAGAGGGCTAACCTCTGCTCTGATCTAAAGCCACGGCACGTCAAATACTTGAAATCGGGTCTCTATTTCTCAAGCTGATCCTCCTGTCTACTGTCAAGGTACGCACATACTACTGAAAAATAGTGGCATTTTGTTAGCTCTCTTTGATGCTCCAGCCTTGACATTGTACCCTGTTCTAGTGAAAATAGCACGGGGTGTTACTGGTTAATTAACAATGATGAAGCTCAAATGTAACATGTTGTCGTTGCTGTGCATGCAGGCCGTGGTTACAGAACTTCACCCAATGTGTTAGATTGGTTCATCTGCCGCTGCTTTTGTTTCTTGATCTTGATATAAAGAATTTCATCATGAGGATTCCTGTAGAGGTAATACTCTTGTGCAATTTATGTTAATGAAATACTTACTCCTTTTCATCCCTCTAATTATGTCGAGAGTTTCATGGTTCCATGTATTTTTATGCGTCAACCTTTTATCTTAATTGTGTATGTAATATATAAATAGTTTGATTTCATTGACAAGAAGATGGATATACTTATAAATGCGAAAACACAACTACGTATGTGGCTTGTTAGAATGCTCTATAAGTCTGGGAGTCCGGATATACACAAGGAAAGAAACATGTTAATCTCTCAGTGTCATGACATTAAATTAAGCCCGAGACGAAGTATTGAGTTGTGTATAATTGACTGACGCGTCTATTATTTATCGATGTGTACTCAGAGTTTTGGTTCGTGTGAATTAGATTAGTGATGTTTCTAGCAAGCATGGTCTAACATATGTTATGGGTTTTAAATATCCAGATTGCCAAAGGTAGCACTATTGATGATCACAAAGAGGAGATATTCCAAATTCTTCAGGGAGATAGAAGGGTCATATATTTTCATGGTTGGGATGGAATCGGGGCATCTGTTTTCCTTAGATCCATAGCAGAAGTGCTCTCATCTACGAGAAGCACCCCGGAACTATGCTTTGATAGAATAATTCATATAGATTGTTCTGATTGGAAAAATAGAAGAGGATTGCAGAGGGCAATCGCAGAGGAACTGGAGCTTGAAAGCTCAATAATGGATGTTCTTGATAAGGAGGATGAAGAGGATGATTTTTACGGAGTTGATGAAAGCTCTAGGAAAGAGATAAAAAGTGTGTCAACAGAGATCAATAATATTCTGATAAACAGCAGATTTGCATTGATTTTTCACAATGGTAGTGACAACGAGGTTGCTGACCTACTCAACTGTGGTGTTCCTTGGATTACAAGTTTTAGTAACAATGTGATGATATGGACCCACAAAAGAAGGATGTTGACCATAAAAAAATACGAACAAGATGAACTACTACATGAACTGAGGTACACTCATCTTTTTGTTTATGATAGGATGGAGTATCTAGCAAGTGGACAGTTGTATGCACTACTGTGTAAAGAGGCTGACATCATAGTTGCTTGCAATCCATGCATCCAAGGAGTCAATCAAACAATGGTTGTCAATTGTTCTTTGTACAAACTATTCCTGCAATGTAGTATTTCCAAGAATAATTCTAATTGGGTTGATGTTGCATCCAACTATTGGATATGTGATGGAATACTAGAAAAAGATATAACATTGGAGACAAGTGTTGCATTGCACAGAGAAATAACCTGGAATTGTGATGATAATGTGCTCACAAAGTTGAAGAGACATTTCGAGCTTCCTTTCCTCATAGTGAAAGAAAATGATGTGTATGAAGAAGGATCATACCGTTGGATTTCAGTCACATCGAAGGATAGAGAAATGCTTGGTATGAAAACTTTACCTGCAGAGACATCATCATTCTTCTTGGAATTTGTAATGTCCGATCAGCCAACAATGTTACCAAATGGTTTGTTTGAACATTCCAACAACCTTGGTGTGCTATTCCTCTGTTGTTGTGCCTTCAATTTTGCATCACCTCCTTTCTTAAAATGCCATAGCCTAAGATTCCTTGGTCTGGACAACTGTACAAATGACAAAACAGGTGAAGGAAAGGATCATACTGAGTGGGTTTGTCTGCATAGCTTATGGGTGTTGGACCTACGCTACACTGACTGGAATGAAATCTTATCACCGGCAAAGATGGACCTCATGGATAACCTCGTGGAGCTAAGCATGGAGGGGGTCTGGTGTTGGCAGTACACAACTTGCTTACCAGGGCGACTACCTAACCTTCAAAGGCTCAGGGTAATCAAGCCTACAAGTGGACCAGATATTTCACCAGACGCATGCAACTCCTTCATGGACAAGGCAAAGCTGGAAATACTTGACCTGTCTGGCAACAATGAGATGGAAATTCTACCAAACAGCCTATCTAAGGCAAGTGTCCTTCAAGTGCTTATTCTGGATGGATGCAACAATGTTAAAAATGTCCTTGTGCCTGATGGGCTACCCCAGTTGCTGAAGTCCTTTAGTTTTGATGGTTATGGGCCAGCTTTCCACCGAGCGCCAATTGTTAAGCTACCTCCCAAACAAGAACGCCCATCAACTCCAGCAATTAAGGAGGGTGCTAGTGTCTCTAATATTTCCCTCAAAGGTTGCTCACAATTGGCACATATGTTCGTGCGTGGGTTGCCCAACCTCGTTGAGCTTGACCTCTCTGGAACTGCAATTAGGACACTTGATTTCACTACTATGGTGGTAGAAGTTCCAATGCTGAAGCGATTATTTCTGCTAGGATGTGAGCACCTTCGTGCAATAATTTGGGACAGGGATAGTGATAGCTTCCGTTTGAAATTGTTATGCATAGATACGCGAGCTGGAACTGGCTTTCTTCGACCGTGCATTGACCAGAACAAATCGTTTCAGCTGGAGGTGCACGCCATTGTTGTGGATGCGAGGCTTGCTCGGTCGTTGTGGCTACTATTATATAATCATTATGCAGCTGAGGATGTTTATCTTAGTATCCATGTCACCTCAGCTGTGTATAGTGGGCCAAATCAATCCAAAGTGACATACAAAGAGAAGAAGATTGACATATATGGAGATCAAGTCAGCCTGCCGCAGCTTGTTCAAGCAGACAGATACAGTGATGTTCAAAGCATGGTTGGTGATATCCCGATGCGGGCCTTCCCTAAGCCTCCGACTAACAACCTGGATCGGCAAATCGAGATTTCTAAAAGGGTGGCATGTCATGGACAGTGGACTGCGAGATGTCATGAAGCGGTTTGCCGAATCCCTGCATGTCCATGATGTCTCAACAAATGCTAGTTTGCCTACGGGGTATGGGAGGTTGCTCAGGCAGTGCCGCATGGAGAGGTGCCCCAATTTGGGTGAAGTCTTCCCCTCAGAAACATATGAATTTAAGGAGCTGGAGACCTTCTGGCGTTCGATCTCCTAACGGCCCGCTGGATATGCAGTAAAGGTGGTTACCGCAGCTTCAATGATGGAGACCGTCCACATCATCCACTGTGGAAACCTCAGCCATGTATTCGTGCTAAACGACAAATGGTACCCAGAGGAAATATCCACCAAAGGTGTACCATTCCCGAAGCTGACCACCATCCACCTGCATGACCTGCCAGAGTTGCAGCAGCTATGCGAGTTCAAGATGGTGGCACCGAACCTCAAGACTATCAAGATCAGAGGATGTTGGGGCCTGCGCCGGCTGCCGGTGGTGGGTGCCCGTAGTGGAGGCATGAAGAAGCCGTCCGTCGAGATCGAAAAACACGTTTGGGACGCGCTTGAATGGGACGAGGAGGTGGCCCCTGGCCACTTCGAGGCGCCGCTGCACTCACTCTACTACAAGAAGAAACTACCCAGGGTCTCTGTGCTCAGGTATTCTCTCCTACATGTCACAAATCCGTTTTTTTCTAAACTGCCAAGATCATACTCAATGTTAGCTACTCAGCTTTGTTACTCACCCTTTTTTCTTTACTCCGCCACTTACATTGTCTAGGTGATCCTTAATGGGAGACCAGATGGACGCCCGCTCCTACAGGTCTTGCTGTCTATTGCATGTGTTTGGTTTGTTGTGTGCTTCCCCGGTTGCTTAAAGGAGATTTGCACGTGGTGTCGGTCGTCGATCGACTCCTAGTGCTACTGTGTGTCGTTGTCAAAGTTTTAAATAGCGCGCTAAGCATCTTAGCGCCGGACCTCTTTCAAATGCTATAGCGTGCTATAGCGGAGCTATAGCGCGCTATTTAAAATGTTTGTTCATTTGTTTGGACCAAAGTCTCTTAGCGCAAGATCTTTTGTAAACGCTATAGCGTGCTATAGCGGAGTTATAGCGGGCTATTTGAAACAGTGGTCGTTGTGTCAGGTTTGAGCTTGTGGTGGCTCTAATCTTTGTGGCTTTCAAATAAGAAGCGGCATGGTTCTTGGTTGCGGCACCGTCGTGTGTGCGGAAGTATGGCTTGTGATTGGAGATGCCTGTTTGCTGCCTCTTGGCTACATGAGTATGAACTTGTAGTGATTGACTAAGCAGCAGCCCTGTGTGCCTGCGTGCATCTACGGGGCTGCCTGGTGTGGTTTGCGAGTGTGTTAATCTGAACACAGAAGCAGCTGGTTCAGTGCATTGGCTTGCACTGGACCTGCTATTATCCGTGTGCCTGTTATGCTTGTGGAATAAAAAGATTGTAATACTAGGAGAACGGATTTCAGTTTGTGCTTCTATTATGCTTGGTATCGATGAATTGTATATTGTCGTATGTAAGATGTGTCAGTTTTGTTATATACTTTGCGATTACTAAAATTTCTCAAGAAATCTCACTAAATTTCTTAACTGACCGGTGCCTCTGATTGATTGTTATTCTGGCTCATAGATTATGGCCATCATTTGGTTATTTGTGCTCTCAATTTGTCGAGCTGATCACACACTAGTAGAAAACAGGGCTAAGGTTCGGGCCTGGCCAGCCCATTAGTCCCGGTTCTTTAAGAACCGGGACCCATGGGGGTATTAGACCCGGTTCGTGAGCCCGGGGGGCCGGCCGGGGCCTCGTGGGCATTGGTCCCGGTTCGTGTGGAACCATTTGTCCCGGTTCAAGCCACGAACCGGGACCAATGGTCCTCGCTCCTGGCCCACAACCATTGGTCCCGGTTCGTGGCTTGAACCGGGACAGAAGGGTGTGCTTTAGTCCTGGTTCATGCCACGAACCGAGACAAATAACTTGCCTACATATACCCACCGCCGCGGCAGAGCACTCCACAGTGCTCTGTTTTTTCAATCCGGCGAGGAGAGGGCATTTGGGTGCTCTAGTTCACCTCCTATGCACATGAGGTGTTCGATGAAATGCCCGAGCCACACTAGTTAAGCTTTCTCCTCTCGAAGCTCGACCTCGGAGCTCCATTTTTTGCGAGATTTGTCTAGTTTTAGCGGTCCGTCACGCCCCGTCCCCGTTTTCACCGCCGTTGATCGCCCGCGCCGATCTCGTCGCCGGCACCACCGTGGTGAGCCTCTTGTTCTTATCTTCTTTCTAATACTTGTCTGATTTTCTTACTTTAGATAAATATTTGTCTGATTTTCTTACTTTTGACACACATAATTATATATAATGCACGCAGATGAACCGGCAATGGATGTATGGTGACAGACACACCTCCGAGTACATTAAGGGCGTGCATAATTTTCTCGAAGTGGCTAAGGCAAACAAGCAGAATGGTTTTATGTGTTGTCCATGCACTAAATGTGGGAATACGAAGTCTTACTCTGACCGGAAAATCCTTCACACCCACCTGCTTTACAAGGGTTTCATGCCACACTATAATGTTTGGATGAGGCACGGAGAAATAGGGGTTATGATGGAAGACGACAAAGAAGAAGAGGACGATGACAACTATGTGCCCCCTGAATATAGTGATGCTGCAACAGGGGGAGCTGCTGAAGATCAAGAGGAACCAGATGATTTGCCCGATGATGCTACAATGGGGAAAGCTGCTGAAGATCAAGAGGAACCAGACGATGTGCCCGATGATGATCTCCGTCGGGTCATTGTCGATGCAAGGACGCAATGCGAAAGTCAAAAGGAGAAGCTGAAGTTCGATCGCATGTTAGAGGATCACAAAAAAGGGTTGTACCTCAATTGCGAAGATGGCAACACAAAGCTGGGTACCGTACTGGAATTGCTGCAGTGGAAGGCAAAGAATGCTGTGCCTGACGATGGATTTGAAAAGCTACTGAAAATATTGAAGAAGAAGCTTCCAAAGGATAATGAATTGCCTGACAGTACGTACGCAGCAAAGAAGGTCGTATGCCCTCTAGGATTACATGTGTAGAAGATACATGCATGCCCTAATGACTGCATCCTCTACCGCGGTGCGTACGAGGATTTGAACGCATGTCTGGTATGCGGTGCATTGCGGTATAAGATCAGACGAGATGACCCTGGTGATGTTGACGGCGAGCCCCGCAGGAAGAGAGTTCCTGCGAAGGTGATGTGGTATGCTCCTATAATACCATGGTTGAAATGACTATTCAGAAACAAAGAGCATGCCAAGTTGATGTGATGGCACAGTGAGGACCGTAAGAAAGACGGGAAGTTGAGAGCACCCGCTGACAGGTCGCAGTGGAGAAAAATCGAGAGAGAGTACTGGGCTGAGTTTGCACATGACCCAAGGAACGATAGTTTGGTTTAAGCACGGATGGCATTAATCCTTTCGGGGAGCAGAGTAGCAATCACAGCACCTGGCCCATGACTCTATGTATGTATAACCTTCCTCCTTGGATGTGCATGAAGTGGAAGTTCATTATGATGCCAGTTCTCATCCAAGGCACTAAGCAACCCGGCAACGACATTGATGTGTACCTAAGGCCATTAGTTGAAGAACTTTTACAGTTGTGGAATGGAAACGGTGTACGTGTGTGGGATGAGCACAGACAGGAGGAATTTAACCTGCACGCGTTGCTGTTTGTAACCATCAACGATTGGCCCGCTCTCAGTAACCTTTCAGGACGGACAAACAAGGGATACCACACATGCACGCACTGTTTAGCTGACAGCGAAAGTATATACCTGGGAAGCTGCAGGAAGAATGTGTACCTGGGCCATCGTCGATTTCTTCCAACCAACCAGCAATGTCGAAAGAAAGGCAAGCATTTCAAAGGCGAGGCAGATCACGGGAAGAAGCCCGCCATGCGTACCGGTGATCACGTACTTGCTACGGTCAATGATTTACACGTAATCTTTGGAAAGGGTCCCGACGGACTAGCTGTTCTGAGTGACGCTGAGGGACACGCACCCATGTGGAAGAAGAAATCTATATTTTGGGACCTACCCTACTGGAAAGACCTAGAGGTCCGCTCTTCGATCGACGTGATGCACGTGACGAAGAACCTTTGTGTGAACCTGCTAGGCTTCTTGGGCGTGTATGGGAAGACAAAAGATACAGCTGAGGCACGGGAGGACCTGCAACGTTTGCACGAAAAAGACGACATGCCTCCAAAGCAGTATGAAGGTCCTGCCAGCTACGCTCTTACCAAAGAAGAGAAGGAAATCTTCTTTGAATGCCTGCTTAGTATGAAGGTCCCGACTGGCTTCTCGTCGAATATAAAGGGAATAATAAATATGGCAGAGAAAAAGTTTCAGAACCTAAAGTCTCATGACTGCCACGTGATTATGACGCAACTGCTTCCGGTTGCATTGAGGGGGCTTCGACCGGAAAACGTCCGATTAGCCATTGTGAAGCTATGTGCATTCCTCAATGCAATCTCTCGAAAGGTGATCGATCCAGAAATCATACCAAGGCTAAGGAGTGATGTGGTGCAATGTCTTGTCAGTTTCGAGCTGGTGTTCCCACCATCCTTCTTCAATATCATGACGCACGTCCTTGTTCATCTAGTTGACGATATTGTCATTCTAGGCCCCGTATTTCTACACAATATGTACCCCTTTGAGAGGTTCATGGGAGTCCTAAAGAAATATGTCCGTAACCGCGCTAGGCTAGAAGGAAGCATCTTCATGGGCCATCAAATAGAGGAAGTCATTGGGTTTTGTGTTGACTTCATTCCTGGCCTTAAGAAGATAGGTCTCCCTAAATCGCGGTATGAGGGGAGACTATAGGACCTTGAAGTATGTCTAGAGGGGGGGGGTGATTAGACTACTTCACCAATTAAAAACTTAACCTTTTCCCCGTTTTAGAGTTTGGCAGATTTTAGCAATCTTTGGACAAGTCAAGCAATCATCACAAATTCAAGCAAGCATGCAAAGAGTATATAGGCAGCGGAAATTAAAGCATGCAACTTGCAAGAAAGTAAAGGGAAGGGTTTGGAGGATTCAAACGCAATTGGAGACATGGATGTTTTTGTCGTGGTTTCGATAGGTGGTGCTATCGTACATCCACGTTGATGGAGACTTCAACCCACGAAGGGTAACGGTTGCGCGAGTCCACGGAGGGCTCCACCCACGAAGGGTCCACGAAGAAGCAACCTTGTCTATCCCACCATGGCCGTCGCCCACGAAGGACTTGCCTCACTAGCGGTAGATCTTCACGAAGTAGGCGATCTCCTTGCCCTTACAAACTCCTTGGTTCATCTCCACAATCTTGTCGGAGGCTCCCAAGTGACACCTAGCCAATCTAGGAGACACCACTCTCCAAGAAGTAACAAATGGTGCGTTGATGATGAACTCCTTGCTCTTGTGCTTCAAATGATAGTCTCCTCAACACTCAACTCTCTCTCATAGGATTTGGATCTGGTGGAAAGAAGATTTGAGGGGAAAGCAACATGGGGAAGGCTAGAGATCAAGATTCATATGATAGCAATGGAATATCTTGGCCTCAACACATGAGTAGGTAGTTCTCTCTCAGAACTGGTAAGTTGGAAGTGTAGGTTTGTTCTGATGGCTCTCTCCACGAATGAAGAGGAGGTGGAGGGGTATATATAGCCTCCACACAAAATCTAACCGTTACACACAATTTACCAATCTCGGTGGGACCGAATCAACAAACTCGATCGGAGCAATTTAGT